TCTGTTTTAGAACAGACTAGGAACAATAAGTTATTTGCTGTTAAGAACCACAATTTATACCTTAGTATGTAATGAGCATATTTTATGCCCACCAGAAAATTTTATACACAGATGAGGTGCTTTGTATTTGTTATTGACTAATTAGTCCACACTATCTTTGTTGTGTGCTGCAGCTAAAATTTATCTTCCACATATTTGATCTCAGTTTAATATTCTTATTTTTATTAAATAGTGAGCCATGTGAATGACATCTTTATATGGTATCTACTAAGAAAAATAATCGACAGATAAAAACCAAAACTCAGTTGAGACAATTGAAACTACCATAAGATCTACAAAAATTCTTTAATTTTTTTTTTTTTGCGCCTTTAACCAGATTGTTGATTAATTAAAATGACCAATTTGATATATTTTTTATTGATTCGATTTGGTCTAATTGACCACTGTTTGGGAATTATATGTACACATTACAATTATTTTGTTTTGTTTTGCAGGGGGTTTTTTGGTGAAAATTGTGACTTCTCTCATCTCCTAGAAACTTCTTGTGCCATAGATTATCAGTACAATGGGTTGCACCTTACTTGGGGAATTTGTGACACTAATTCTGAATTCTGTCAGATTTTCGTTTCGAGGAACTTCTTAGTGATAAATCGTCTCTGGAGAAACTATTAGATTCAGTTATATAAGCCAGACATGGAAGCTCTCTCTCTCTTACAAGGTAGTTTTGCGTAGAGAAAAGTATCAACGAGAACAAGTGCCTGTCAATTAATCAAACATGTCACATTTCAGCTAGCACTATACTCAACCCATCAGTTGTCTCAATTCAGTTTAAATATCAGTCATAGCAGTGAAAGATTCAGCTAACTAATGTTATACAAGTGAGCACCATTGTTTGACTCAATCTTTTATTTTATTTTTGGATGTATAGCAGGATAAAATATTGGTGTTTAGAGGTAAAGTTTCAATTAAAATTTTAGAATAAATTATTTCTTTGTGGGCATCTAATTCACAGTGGACATCCTATTACACAGATTAAATTTGCTCTTTTCCTCACAAAACAGATTTGTCCTTCTGGTAAAGTTTTCCTGTAGGTGTCTTCTTTGGAATGTATCAGTCTTCAGCAAAGCATGAGGAATAAAGTCTAGGAATGCTGTTTTTAGCAGGGATAATAATATTACATATTAGGTTTATCCATGCACTATTCATCTATTTGTTATCACATGGATATGCAATTGGGCTGTGTTATTTAAAATGACAGCAAGCACATATACAGCAAATTCACCGTTAATGAAGGTGGGAAAAAAAAGATTCTAAGTGAAAATAATCAAACAAATAAAAATACATCAGAGTTTCCCTAGTTTCTAATCCACCCAATGGTCTCTCCTTAATCTCTCTAAATATTAAATAAATTGGTCTAACTTCTTACCATACATTGAGGATATCCTTTCTCCCTTATTCTGACCTGATTATATTTTCCCCAAACTTTACAACATGTTGGGGCTCATATACAGAACATGATGGATTGCGTTTCAGTGCCTTTATTTCTTGAATGCTAAGTCATTTTTACCCTAAAGGTAGGGAGACCTAAATGTTAGTAGACATTTTGAACAAATACTTGCCCTGTGCAAGTACAGACCACTCTGAATTAGGGGACATCAGCATAGCACTTTGACCTGTGAGTAGTTAAATGCACAGTTAGAGACACTTATCTAAATGGACTGTTGTGTAAAACTAATGCTTTTGCTTGATCACTATTCTCTTTCAGTAGGTTGTTTCTTTTCTGAAAAAGGTTATAAACATCAGGGAAAAGTATACTAAAGAATAGAGTTGATTAATGTGACATATTTGAGTTTCTTTCCACTGCTCTCCCAACAGCAAGTCACAGAGAGGCAACTCCAAACAGTGAACTAAATTTAAATTACACAGCTTTGGCTAGAAAATTGTTCAGTCAATTCAGCCTGCAAAATGAAATTTGATTTTTTGTCCTACACTTGAGCCACTTCCCAATTTTTCATACCATGATGATTCCTGCCCAGGCATTTACTGATTTGAGGTCTTTTACTCATAAGACCATTGCTGGTTTTTAATTTTTGAAGGAAAAATATATATAAAAATCCAGAATGTATGTTAATTGTGCCAAGAAAAGTACGTGAAAAACTAAAATGTAGTTTTACAAAAGGGTCATATTTGTACAGTGATTTTTTTTCTGCTGTAACAGGGCTATTGGAGGTACTATTATATGACATCTTTTGTTATTTTAGGTACTGTGTTTTGTGAAATGTAACACTGGGAATATGCTAACACTTTCTGTTTGCTGTGGAATTATTCCAAAAGAAAATAGGTCAACTTTTAAAACAAAATTTAACTTGTATTGCCTAAATAATTCATTCAGCATGAAACACTATCACTGAGTCACACGTTTGTAGCCCATGAATTTCTTTTAAGAAGCAGGCTTCTTTATTTAAATTTGATGTTTGCCTTAGGTCAGAATTTGAACCTAGACAGTAATAGATGGAAGCTTCGTTCTACAACGTACCAATAAAGCTGTTGTATTTTGATATAAATACTAACGTGAGACCTCAAGTTGAGAATAATTCCTCTGTACAACTTTTAGTTTAAAATCTAAAATTAATTATTTATAAGTGTAGTGCAAATAGATTAAGTTAACTTGGTGCCACATTTCTGAAATACTAAGGACAATGTTGATAATATTGAGTCTGTAGTAAACATTTACAATGTAGTCCTGTCATAGGTACTTTTTGTGTACTGACTTAGTATTTATAACAATAGGTACTATTATGTTCTCCATTTTTGCAGATGAGAAAAATAAGGCACAGAACAATTTTTACACTTCTAAAGCAGTATTTCTCGACTTCAGCACTATTGTCTTTTTAGGTCAGATATTTCTTTGTTATGATAGAACTGTCATGTATATTTTAGAATGATTAGCAGCAACCCTGGCTTCTACCTACTAGATGCCAGTGGTAGTAGACCCTGCACCACCACTTCAATTATGACAACCTAAAACATTTCTAGATACTGCCAAATATCCTCCAAGGTGAAGGAGGAGAAAGGGGACAATATCACTGCTGAGGTGAGGAACATTGGTTTAAAGAATTTATTCACATCCTTCTCCCACTATCGAGAACAAAATAACAAAGCAATAATTCTATTGAGTTCATCGATATATTTAAAATTCCCCAAGGAAAATGAGAAATTCTCTTGTAACTTTGTAACTAATTTGAAAGAGTATCCACTATGGTTGAGAATGAAAGTAGATTTTCATTAGTTGGCCCTAGAAAAAAGCTGATTATCTGCTCTGGGGTGAATTGGAGCAGTTGACCTTTCAGCCCACATAATACAATAACTTGTCATTATCAAGTCAGTTTGGATGTTATCCTGCAAGATATGCTTATACCAAAAGGAGGTGGGTCTTTGCCTTTTAAAGCTCACTTTAATGAAAGCTACCTGCATGACCATTATGCCAATTGCTGATAGTTTTCACTGACATTACCAGTTACTCTTTCAAGAAAACCAATACTTAAAACTTCCCCTTTTAAAACAGCAGCAAAATAAATACATCCAGAAATTCTTTCAACCATCTCAGAAGAATTAACAGCAGAGTAATATGAAACCATCTCAAAATGCTATGTAAAGTCTTTTATTGAAAGTTATCATGTGAAGCATTAGCATCTGAACAAATCTTTTATTCTTGAAGACCTGCACTTTAAAGATTTTTAAGCCTAGTATTTGTCATAAAAGTATATCATCCCTTGTCTCCATTTTTCAAAATGCTACAAATTTCTTAAAATTTATTTATACTTTAACCTTTGACAATATTAGTTGTTCCTTTAATGAAAGTATGTCATATCATATTTCTGCTTTTGTTTTGAAGTAGAACCTATATGATTTTAATTCTGCTTTTCAATTAGGACTGCATCAGTGTCGCAGTTCTGAGTATCATTTAAACAATTCTAAACTCCTTAATCCTTAGCAAATGTAAAGAGGTATTTTTTTTTATTATACCTTGGATTCTCTCTGTTTTGCCTTAGCATTAGCCAAATCTGATGTAAACCTTCACTAATTCCATGCAATATCTATGCTGAGTTTATTGCTGCTTGTAAGTGGCAGTAAAGAATAATCTTTGGTGCTTGTCAATGTGTTGATTACGTGACTAACTGCTAGGATTTATACACACTGTTTTTTATTACAGTGATAGCTATCTTTTTTGCTGAAAGTGCAATCAAGCAGCTAGAATGTCACAGAGAAAACGGTCACCTCTTTCTCCTCTCCCACTCATCCCCTCACTAATATACTTCTCATTTACTCTGAAACCTTAATGATGAAAAGGACAATGGGAAAATAATACCTGCTATCTGAACATTACAAAAATGAAATCTGAGTGTAAAAGCTCTACATAATTGAAAACGTACCTTACATGGACTATATTTGCTTCACTTTTCTGCATCAGTGAAAGATATATCTAATTCTCTACTTAGTCTGTGTTTCTTAATAATGACAAACTATATCTCAAAGATTCATCAAACTACCTGGTCGTGAATATAAACGGTTATGGCTGTTCTGCTTTTAGAACAAGCCCAAGGACTACATAAAGCCCACTGATGCGTACATTGTAGCACTCCAGGGCTATCATAAATTTCAAATCATCTGTTTCTGCCAGGTTGTTTTAAACCTCTGTATGTTATTGTGTGCAGCTTCTCTGCAGTTGAATAGCTGGGCGTCTACAAGTTGGCTATCACCATTTCTAAGTTCTCATGTAAAATAAGGTGTAATCAAGTTTTAAAAAACATGCAGATACTTCCATAAGGTATCGAAAATAAGTTCAGAAATTTAAACTCCATGTCTTTGGGAAGGGAAATATTGAATTTGGTTTCTCATCCTGTGAGGAAACACAAACTATGTTTCATTTGTCAATGAGTCAAAGAAAGGATCTCTTATGAGCCTTTAAATTAATCCACTGTATTTGATTCTTTTTGCAGACCACAGATGACATCCTTGTGGCCTCAGCAGAGTGTCCCAGCGATGATGAGGACATTGACCCCTGTGAGCCGAGCTCAGGTGGGTTAGGTTAGTCGACTTTTTTTCTTACTTTCTTGGCTTTACTGTAAATATTTATTGCATGCTATATTCCATTGAAGAGCCTTGAATTTATGTCTAGAAGGCTACCCTTTTATACAATGGCTCATTGTGAGATAAGGGTCCTTGCTTTTTACATGAATAAATTTTCCCACATTTATTGGAAAAAAAAGTAGAAACAAAATCAACCAAGATTATGTATTTCAGAAAAAGCAGTGGGGGGAAAACACACAGGGTTGCTACTTTACTGTTCCCTTCCCATTAGCTTTCAACATAATTTTTGTGTGTAACAGTGTAATGGGCTTTCTCTTGGGTCACTTATACTAAAATTGCAAAGCTAAAAAATTGCAGTGCATTGTGGAAAATTATTTGACCTTTCTACTGACAAAGAGTCCCCACTACTCATTCTACCAGCAAATTATCTTAAGTGATGTATTTTTGAATTTTGGTAGTGAGAGTATTATGGCAGTAGTAAAACAAACAGCAGGTAGTCCTTGATACATTTAATGGAGAAATATTTGAGTCTTGCCGTGTTTCCCTAAAATTCAAGCTGATGTGTTTTACTTCCAGCTGATGCATAATTTCACCTCCTTCTTTATGATGTGTTTGCATCTCATCTGATGTGACTAACACATAAATACTGTTTCCATACAGTTGTTATACCATTTAGTGGTGTCTGCGGACCCTGAAAATGAATGAATCATAGCCTGGATTTGATTCCAGATAGTCATAATACCAAGTATTAGGGGTCATTTCCATTAGTTTTCTTTGTAAAGCAGTGTTTTTTAAAATTGAATAATTTTCTTGTTTATGTTAACCAAGTGAGTGAGGTAGATATGGCCTAACCTTTATCTGCTAGCTTGTGACATCTATGGATGTCACCTAGAACCCCAGGAGAGTGTCATGTCACAATGAAATGACTAACTTGCATTCTCATGAAGAATGCCATTGCAAAGTAAATCTACTCACTCTGATATTTGAGAAGAAAATGTTTCAGGATGCATATTCTGCATGTCCTTTTGAATATCACTGATTGTAGCACTCAGGGAGCAGCTGCTGAGTGTCCAGAAGGAGCAGAAGCTCAGCAGAAGAGGGCTTGGAAGACCCAGGCTGGGTGTGCTCTCATCCCCCTTCCTCTGGCCTTACCCCACCAATCAAGAACACAGGCCCTAGAATCATCTGTCACACACAATTATTAGATCTCTGATGAGCATCCATTAATTCCTTCAGCTCATTGATCTCTACAACTGTTCCCTCTTGGTTGTCTAGATAGACATGGTCATTTCGTGAAACCATCCTAGACCTTTTGCCATGATCCTGCCTTTGTTTTCATTGGTATTCTTACTTTCTGTTAGTTTTTTTTTTATATATATATATTGCTTTTTTGTCCTTCTGTCAGTTAATCTCTGCCTTCTCAGACCCTGAAATTTCCTTTCCCCATTTCTCCCATGCCCACATGCCCAGTTTTTCTGAGTTAATCCCTCACACCAGGACACTTTAAAAAACATCTCATTCTCTCTGAGATCCTCCAGCATAAGTTGTTCATAGAACAATATCTTGTGTTTGTACATTGGAGTGTGTGTGTGTGTGTGTGTGTGTGTATAGTTGATTTTGTTTTCCCAATTAGTGTTTTCTTAGTGTGTATTCGTCTATTTTTGTGTTGCTATAACAGAATAGCTGAAACTTGGTAATTTATAAAGAAAATAGGCTTATTTAGCTCATGATTCTGGGACAACTACATCTGGTACAGGACTCAGGCTGCTTCTACTCATGGTGGAAAGTGGCAGGGCAGCCAGCAGATGCAAGGAGATCACATGATGCAAGGAAGAGAGAGAGAGAGAGAGAGAGAGAGAGAGAGAGAGAGAGAGAGAGAGAGAGAGATGCCAGGTTCCTTTCAACACCAGCTCTCCTGGAAACTAATAGAGTGAGAACTCACTCACATACACCAGCCCCTCCCCAGGGATGTCATTAATCTATTCATGAGGGAACACTCTGATGACCCAAACATCTCCCAACACTGCCACATTAAAGATCAGACTTTAACATAAGCTTTGGGGGAGCAACATATCCAAACTATATGACAAGGGTAGTTGATTTTTGCAGTATTTTACAGAGTATTAACACAGTAATGAAAACTATATGTTCTTACTAATTACGGTACTTGCTGAATTTCCTCTGGCCTGAATCCCTCCTTTGCTGTCTGAGTACAGGCTATCATCCTCTTTATACAGAGCCCTTACCTTGGGTACCTAGTAAATCCAGGGTGAGAACTCTAATTGCACTTAAAATTGTCACTTTTTATTCTCTTCTTGAGCTCAGCTAAACAATTCTGTTCTTCTAGCCATTAATTTACAGGTCTTATTAACCATTCCTTATTGACTAGCTTACGGTATCTCCTTTCTCTGGGGACACTGGACCTAGGAACAGCATGATGGAGGGAGAAGAGGAGGGAAAGAGGGGGGATAATCTTTTTGTCATCTTCTGTTTATTCACCTGACTTTTATTTGCTTTGTTAAATATTATTACATGATCGAAAGTGTTAATAGCTGTACTCCTTATAATCTTCCTGCCTCTATTTTCTTTACTAAATTTATCATTATCTGAAAGAATTGTGTTTTCTTATCTATTTGCTCCTAGTTCATTCATGTATAGTTTGCATCTCCCCACAAGGAGGTGAACTACATGAAGCAGGAATCCTGTTCATCTTGCTCCCTGCATGGACTTGCTCTGTAATTTTAATTCTGCTCCATTGCACCAAAGTCTGTTGCCCAATGTACAAGATACAACAGACCCTACCTAATAACAGCTACTTCATTACTCTTGTGCCAAGCCTAATTTAACTTCTCATCCTCTTCTTCAGTGTTTCCTTCCTCACTCCTTAGTTTTCAATTCAGCAATTTCTGTGTAAACAAGAACTTCAAATTCTTTCAGTGGGATCATTGAAAGACAATGATCCAACAACAAGCCATAAGCTTGTCTTGTGACTCTGTCTGTTCTATCTTTATAGTGTATGCCATGAATGCTTTCTCTTTCTACACTGCATTTTGTAAGTGAAATCTTCTTCATTGGCTCTTTCTGTCCAACTCCAATGCTTTTTTTTAAATGTTCATTTTTAATGCTTCATGCAGTGTTGCTCTTTTGGTAGAATTGGTTCCATTTGTATGACAGCTTCTGATGAAATTTTTAGTTTTATATGTTTTTTTTTGATATGCCAACTATTTTTTGAAATAGAGGTTTATTTTTTTATCCTGTTTGAATCTGAATATTGTTTCATTGTAGGATGCCCTTCTTGCAGGTCTTTGTTCCTTAAGGTACTGGTTTTCTTAATTGTCTTTTTCCTGCTTGCAATTTATCTTGAATACAAATATAAAATAATATGGACAGTAATTGTAGTTGCTGATGCTGTTAGACTTTGGATACTTTTAGATGTATCTTGATAAAAATCATTTCAGATATAAGTAGGTCATATTTTGGGAAACTGACTTTTTATAAAAGTAACATATTAAGGTAAATATTCCAAAATGGACCTTTCTTCTATGCATGTTTGCTACTCCTAAAGCAAGAGAAAGCAGATCTTTGTGAAGAGATGCACAATTACTATTACAGGCTGCCCAAGTCTTCTGGGTGTTTCACCTTCCCTGAGTATTTACACATGAAAGTTTTCTAAGTACTCTGAACCTCCCCTTACCTTCATGAAATAACATTTTCTCTGAAAATGAGCTTCACACATTATTTAGATGCCTTCCTAAAGCCATTGATAGAACAAACAGGAAAAATCTAGAATCTTCTTGAGCACTAGTAAATTATACCTTTTGTCAACTGTTTGGTAAATTTGAATTACTTTGTGGTTCCACTCAGAACTCTTAATGAAAAGAGAAGTTATATATTTGGTGTGTTGTCAGTTTCATAATTGATCAAGTATAATTGAGTAGTACTGTATACTCACTGCTCTGTTAACCTCTGGGAGCAAAAATTAAGAGATTATATCTCGAATTCTGTTCTAACAAGGGACATCCTTCACTCTACCCTAGATGATATTCTTAGTTATTTTTTTCTGATTATTAATTTCTTTCTCTTTGTCATTAAAATATCACTTCTTTTTCAGAGTTGTTGCAAGAGTTAAAATTAATATATTTAAGGCAATTATTGCAATGCCCAGCATAAAGAAGAGCCTAAATGGCAGCTTTTCTTTTTCCCAATTCAATTATATTAAAAGGATATTCAAGCTATTTTTTCCTTTTTACATAATGCTGTTACTTTCCCTGCCTGAAAATTGATGGGCAACTGATGAAACCACTCAGGCCTCCTGATGGGACCTGTACATGTTAAAACTAGATCAGGGACAACCCCCTAGGTGGAAACACATGGAACTCAATTATACCTGATTCCAGCCACATTGTCCTGCCTAGTTAGCATTAGATAATAGCTTCACATTAGTATATACAGTGTTTTAGAATATTAAAGGGTGACTGTGCAATTCAGGAGGGCTAATTAAACCCCAATTCTTAGTGGACAGATATAAACCTGAGGCAGCCATTGCTGGCTAGGTCAGAGGCCACCATTGTCCTAAAATGCCTGGTGTAAGCAGCCTAGACAGATGGATCACCTTTTATATACTTTTTTCTCAAAAAACTTGCACCTTCTGTGATTTTCTCTTAGCCTAGAGATGTGGTTGTTGGAATAAATGGATTAAAATATGGAAAGTATGTTGTCCAACAATGCCTTATTTGTAATGTGTTATTCATATGCTTACTGTTATTGCTATTTGTAGCATATAAATACACATATTTTCCAAGACTTCTTTTTTCCCAGGAACATGAATTTTTGTAAAACATATTTCTCTGAAACATTCCATTTTAGATTCACTTAGTAAATTGACAAAATGGCAACACTGCAAAACCACTTAAGTTTCAAAATGGCCTTTAATCATGTCAGCACATCTTAGTCTGGAAGCTTTCTTCTAAATAGAATCCTTTCTCAAA